TTTTCCTAGGAAGTCCTTTCTACACTCTCTCCAGTTAAATTACCCACTTGAGTGATTGAGTGTAAGCCATTTTTAACAGTGCTTGCATACAAGTTAGGAATATGAAATCTTACTGTGTACCAGGAAGGGAATGCTGCCAAAGTCTACTATAAAATCTCCAGGGCCTGAATTCCCTGAGAGGAAAGCTAAGTGATCTTTTTTGGCTTTCTCTCCAGAATCTAAGCCAAGTACTACTCTTCATGAAACTTCATAGCCAAAGAAATCATATATGACTAATGCTTTGAAAAGACCTGATGATCAGATATATTCCACAGTTTAAACTTTAAAAAGTGGTTGTTTGTCCATTTAAAATATCATTTGAGAGAAGGTGTTCCCCTTGTAAAAGCATTTGCGTGGTCTACTATACAGTTTGGAAAAAAAAAAAAAGAACATTTGGAAGAAAAGGAAAATTAATCATTCATGGCAGACTACACTGCCCAGAGGCAATCACTATTAACGTTTTAAAAATATTTCTTCTATGTGTAGATTTTCTGGTTTGTATTTGTTTGCTTTACATAGTTGTAATTATCTCCTATAACTGAGATACTACTTCTGACTATTTCTACTATTAACATTTCTATGCAGGGGCTGGGGATTTAGCTCAGCGGCATAAGCACCTGCCTTGCAAGCAGGCGGTCGTGAGTTCGATCCCCAGTACCGATAAAAAAAAAAAAATGAATATATGTCACAATTTGTTTTATTATTCTCCTTTTATAAATTTAGATTGTTCTCAGTTTTTCACCATTAAAATGAATATTGCAGTAAATATTTTTCCACATGAAGAAAATTCTTTATTTTAATTTTCTTAAAACAGGCTGCCAGAAATGAAGCTACTTCAGTCAGAGGTTGTAAGCACTGTAAGGTTCTAGAACCACAGGGCCAAATTATTGTCCAGTTTATATTTCCACCAGTACGTGATGAGAAAATTTGTTGCACTGCATTATCAACAGAGTTGAGTTTGTTAAAACAATAACAAAAAGCTTTGTTATATAGTGGGTAAAACAGTATTTCACTGGGAGTTTACATTTTTTAAAATTATAGAGAATGTTTAAACATTTACTATTTGTTAGCTATAATTCCTCCTTTGTGATTTTTCTATTATCTATGTATGCCTTCCTTAATGTTTTTTGTTCATGTTAAAGAGTTTTCTTTCTTTCTTTCTTTCTTTCTTTCTTTCTTTCTTTCTTTCTTTCTTTCTTCTTTCTTTCCTTCCTTCCTTCCTTCCTTTCTTCCTTCCTTCCTTCCTTCCTTCTCAGTACTGAGATTGAACTCAGGCAGGGCCTCACACATGCTAGGCAAGCACTCTACTACTGAACTACATCTTTATTCCTTGTCTATTTCTTTATTTTCTTCATTTTTATTGGTGCATATTGGTTGTACAGGTAAGCAGGATTTATTTTGGCGGGTCTGTGCATCATGCAGCATACTGTGATCATATTCCTCTCCTCATTACCCCCCTTACATGCCTTCCCTCCCCTATTCCCTTTGTCTTACCTAATAATAGTCTCCCTTCTACTTTCTTTTTTTCTTTCTTTGTCTTATTAGATTTCACATATTAGGGAGAATATTGTTATATTTGTCTTTCTGAGCGTAGCTTATTTGGCTCAGCATGATGATCTCCAGGTCCCTCCATTTTCTGCAAATGACAAGATTTCATCCGTGTGTGTGTGTGTGTGTGTGTGTGTGTGTGTACAGTCTGTCTGTCCTTCATTGTTTAGGTTGTTTTTCTTTAGTTTTTGTTGCCTTTTCTGGTTTTCTGGGGAAACCCTGGGTGTTTTGTCTCACTGTACCCAGTGAGCCCTTTGAAGCAGTTTCCCAGTCCACTGCCTAGCACAGCATGGTGCTCAGGAAATGTATTTTTATTTTAATGGTACATTTTAGTACCGGGTTATGTTTTGTTTTTTGGGTTTTTTGGGGGCCGGGGATGAACTCAGGACCTTGCACTTGCCAAGCAGGCACTTATGCCGCTGAGCTAAACCCCCGGCTCCTTGGTACATTTTCTGTGCACACAATGATAACATCCATCCTAGGAAATTTGTTCCTGGACGTGATATATCCTGCCTCTTTTTTCTCACGTCGGGAATATTTTTAGAAGGAGTAAATGTAGACCGACTGTCCCTGCCAGTTGCCCTCAGTCAGTGTTTCGTCATCCTTTCTGCTCGGTGCTGAGTTGGGTAGCACGGTGCTCCTGGGCGTGTCTTCAGCCGTTGGCTGGCCTGCTGTCTGCATCAGGTCCCCCCTTAGGATGTCTGTTATAGCTTTATAGACATTTAATTTTAGAAACACCTTTTCTGTCCAACTATGCAGGACGTTTCTCTCCTTTTCCTGGGCTGCTTTTTAAAACAGAAGGACAAACTGTTGTTGGCTGCTTACCCGCTTAGTGGATCTTGACGTTGGAAGAGTGCATGCAGCAGGACCCGCACCAGTCAGTGTGTGTTATGGCCGGGTCAGATCGCACCCTGCAGAGGACAGTGGGGGAGCGTGGCCTGGGCTGTGCTTGGCCCGGGAGCTCTCGGTGTCAGCCGTCTAACATCTCCAGGCCGCTGGGCTGAAGTGCAGTTAGTGCCCACACTGGATGTCAGCGTTATGTAGCGTGAACATAATGGCATAATGATGATAACAGTTGATAGAGTTATTTCCAAAAGATGAAAAATATTAACAAAAGATGAGAAATATAAAATAAAAAGCGGCCTTTATTCTGAGAACACGGAGAGAGATGACCGGCAACTCCCACCGCTGGCGTCCGGCGATCTCTCCGGCGGACACGCGGCGTGGGGGCCTGTAAATAGCCTCGGTTTGGGGTGGAACCTAAGGCGGGCATTAGGGATACACAGGTAGCCCATTGGTCCTAGGTTTGGCGCCATATGTAAATTCCCTGGGGCGGGAAGATGGCGTCACAGGTAACTTCCTAGGGGCAGGGCAAGATGGGGCTTTCTGCTTCCGGTTGTGGCTTTCCTGGCTACAGTGTCCTGCCTGGGCCAAACCTTTCATATCCCGTCTTATGGTTATTATTATGAAAAGGGGTGAAGATTTCTCTCTTTAACTACTTCCTGCTGGCAAAGGGCGCTGTACTGGAGCCTAGGGGAGTCGACGGGATGAAGGTTGATGCCCAGGTAGACACTGGTGCCAGGTGTTTTGGCCAGGACAGCTTCACTGGTGAATGCACATATGTCAGACTGGAAAAACAAAGAGACAAAATGTTATGAGGAGACATGGCACTGTCATATTTAAGGACCCAGGTGAGGTAAAGGGAAAGGTGCCTTTGATTTAGACATATCATTCTATCAGGACCATGTTGAGGTAGAAACATTTCCATGGTGAGGCAGAATTCTGAAAATTAAACATGGGGTTAGGAGGAGTGGAGTTATGAGAGGTGATTACTCCCCCATCTGAAAGCATAAAAGTTAAGACGGTAGGTTGATGAGGCTTGTCTCTGGTATGCATGATGTTGGAGTCTGTAGGCAATACTGTTAAAGAGTCCTGCTGTAAAAATGATCATTAATAAAATGTAAGAAATTAGGAACCAAAGTGGATAACAAAACATGACTTAGCCTGTTAACTGTGGCTGCGAGGCCTTCGTGAAACGGAGATTGGGTAGGCGACAGAAGATGAGATGACCACTCAGAATGATCAGATTTAGGGCTGGGAGGGCATCTCTTAGCCTGAGTGATGTGGAATCAGGATGGCAGTCTAGCAACTTTGATTTAGGCATGGGTCACTGTAACCTGGTTGTAGTCCTTGGAATGATTTGCTGTAACAGAACTTTAGCAAGTATGAGAAAGGCTTTTATGTATCCTGAAAAAGTATAAACCAAGTGAGAAGACAAAAATGTATCTGTCAGTCTTGACCAGGGTACCTGAGAAATTGGTGAATAAGATAGGAAGGGGGTGGTCTTATATCACTGAGGAGAGGTCCACCAGCAACAACAGGTAGGAGCTGTTGAGGCCTCAGTGTGTCTAAGTCAGCCTGTATAAAAGGCATTTTAAGATTTAGGACTGGGACCTGCACAAAATAGGCCCTGTTTGTAATGTAAATGGCATAGGTTGACCATCAATACCCTGTCATAGAGATTGATGACTTAATATAGCAGCCTGAATACTCAGGAAGAACTCTGTATATATGGCCTCTATGTCCACAAATAAAGAGAATGTCTTACCTGAGACTTTAGTGCGACTTGGAATCCGAGACAGACACCTTAAAGGGGGCTGTTGTTGCCCTGAACTTCCTCAGTCTTCAGCAGCAATTTTCTGTCAGTGACGAATCTAGCAGTGTCAACATTTTCTGTGAGGGCTAGGATGACTTACCCACTCTCTGGTGGCTAGGACAGTCCAGTAGCCCTAGAGTAAGGTCTCAAAGAATGCCAGGATGGGGCATTTTCTTGCCCAGTATCTTCTGCTGCATTTGAGCGTGGTCCATGGAGGGGGCAGGCAGCTCCACCTTGTATAGGTTTACCTGTCTCAGAACTCCAAGTGTCACAAGTGTTAAAAATATGAAAAAACATATTAAGATCTCTATAAGGTTTGAAGGTCAAGTTTTGCCTTTTTGTTTGGGATTTGGACTACAGTACAATTAAGTAAGTATGCAGGAATTTAATATTGGCATTTTGGATTAAAGAGCAGGCTTTATCTGGATGGCACATTGCTTTTTATAGGGTGACACGTAGAATTAACAAAGCTTTAGTCTGCCAAACAAGGCTTTAATGGAAACATTTTGCAGTAAAGGTTTAGCAATCTTATGAATAAATCAATCAAAACTGATCTAATACTGTCAAATTCTGAACACATTTACTTTTAAAGTTGTTATTTGCAGTAGTATGAACCAAGACAAATAAAATAAAACTTTGAAGAAAACCCTTGTCTTGAAATAGAGCTAGTGGTTCCCAGCAAAAAGGAATTTATAACCTTAGTTGTTAAACAGGAGATTGGTGAAGGCTTTGATTGATAAACAAGGTTGGTAAAATTATCAGGTGGCCAATAACCTTGATTAAATGGTTTGAGAACTGTAATAAAAAAGCATCTTTTGAGCGGAGCCAAATTATAAAAAAAAAGCATGCCTGAGCAGAGCCGCTGAGCTGCTGTTTCTCGGCGCTCCGGCAGAGCACGCCCAGTGGGTGGGGCAAGCGCTGGGATGTAGCGCGCAGGGGCGGGCTCGGACTGCCCCCGGAAACGTGTAAGGTGGCAGCGGCGGCGACGGCGACGCACAGGGGAGGGAGGGGCTGGGACGGCGCATGGGGGAGGGGCTGGGAGGCGGCCCGACACAGTCCGCAAAGCTGGAACTGTTTGAAGGGCGCAAGGATTAGAAAGCCAATTTAGGAACACAGCTGGGTTTTGATTAGCCTCCTGGACCTGTTTTAAAAGTTTGTTATAGTTAGTATGCTTGTCCTGCTCTGGCACAGCTATAGGCCTAGAGTCATTACCAGCGGTGTTTACCTCAGGTCTGCGATCAGCTTTTTCTCGAACTGCTTGCCACAGCTGATTCCGTTCTTGTGAGATGAGAGAGGTATCTAGAATCACATAAACATCCTTAAAACGTAAATCATAACAATTAGTAATGAATTCAAATTGCCTGATATAATTCTGTGGATCAACAGAAAAGCTACCTAATTTATGGACAGTCTGGGATAGATCAGAAAGGGAAAAAGGCACATGGATGTTAACAAGTTCCTTGGGGCCAGCTTGCTCCCGAAGTGGAAGCAGAGCCTGAGGAGATTCCGGAGCAGAGGGCCACTGAGCAGCCTTCCTTCTGGTAGGCGCATGTGAGCAATCATCTGTAGAGCGGCTACAGAGCTGCTGCCGGTCACCCTGGGAAACAGGAGCAGATGGCGTCTCACTGTGTGCCTTGCAGCTAGAGGACTGCTGTCGGCAGCACAATGAAGCGTCATGTGCACTGCAACAGGGCGGCTGTTGTAGTTCACAAGAGGAGCCACAAGGAGATGCCTGTTGACAGTGAAGGCCCTGGAAACATGGCGGCGCCCTGTCACGTGGCCCGAAACATGGCGGCGCCCTGTCGCCATGTGGCCCTCCGGAACATGGCGGCGCCATGCCACGTGGCAGAGGGTTGCAACATGGCGACTGTTCCCCGCGCAAGCTGGAACAATCACGCGACCTGCTGGAAGAACATAGCGACCGAGACCTAGTATGGTGGGCGGGCGGCGAGACTGCTGTAGGGGATAGAGAATTCTCAGGAGAGGAAGTCAGAGACTGCGGGGAAGCGCTAACAGAGAGATCAGAGCTGCTGGGAGAGATATGGGTCCCTGGAGACGGAGGGCGAGAGGATCGAACATCGGGAGATAACTGCGACACAAAGGGATTAGAGCTGCTGGGAGAATCAGGCATAGGGGGAGGAGAGAGCGGTCCGGCAGGAGATAACGGCAGGGAACGAGTTTGGTGGTAGGCAGGCGGTGGCTGGGAAAAGAACGGAGGGCAGGACGGAAAAGTTTGCGGCGCAGTAGACTTAGCTAAAAGTATCTCAGCAGGAGCACAAGACTTAATGAGAGATGGGCGTGTTCTCAGAATAAGAAAGGCTTGGACATAAGGGAGTTCTAATAACTTGTTGCCAGCTTGACAAAAATCATACAAGTTCCTGAGAATGCAGGGGTCAAATGTTCCTTGTTTGGGCCAAGGCTTGCCGATAAGCGGGTAGGTTGGCCAGACCTCCTGGCAGTAAAAAGTTAGTTGTTTAGTTTTTATGGTACCTTTAATTTTTAGAGTACGTAAATTGGAAATTAGGCATCGTAAAGGCGTCTTTTGGGAGTTAGAAAATACGTTCCCCATGACTGATTCAGGCAAGAAAAAAAACCGGAGGTCCAGAAAAAAGTCGTCACTTATTTGTGGTACCACGCGGCGGCTACGGTTCCAAACTGTAAACTCCAGTCGTCACTGAGAGATTTACCAATGGAGTCTACGTGGGGTCAGTAACAGTTTTGCCCGTGAAAGCGCAAGGCTTTAAGGGAAGTGAGGCATTCTTTCCGTGTGGGCGGTCCCAAAAATCTCTGCTTTGGGCTATCCGAACCCAAAGAACGTGAGAGATTTTGTGGGCGCAGGTTTGCCCAGAAAGAACCCTGCCCTGGGCGGTCCTAAGGACGTGAAAATGCACAGACCCACGCAGACGGGGAGAACATTCCACTGGGGCTGCCCAGTGCGAAAACTTCCCCGGGGAGTGCTCACCTGAAATCAGTCTGGCCGATGCGGAGTGCAGGCGGCTGGCGACAGGAACGTCTCGGGAGAGGAAAAAGCTCGGGATTAATCCAGGATGTTATCTGATTATCGGCGAGGAAACTCTGGGTATGTGGCCCAAGAGTTAGTTGCCTGCCGATCGAGTCACGGCAACAAATGATAGAGTTATTTCCAAAAGATGAAAAATATTAACAAAAGATGAGAAATATAAAATAAAAAGCGGCCTTTATTCTGAGAACACGGAGAGAGATGACCGGCAACTCCCACCGCTGGCGTCCGGCGATCTCTCCGGCGGACACGCGGCGTGGGGGCCTGTAAATAGCCTCGGTTTGGGGTGGAACCTAAGGCGGGCATTAGGGATACACAGGTAGCCCATTGGTCCTAGGTTTGGTGCCATATGTAAATTCCCTGGGGCGGGAAGATGGCGTCACAGGTAACTTCCTAGGGGCAGGGCAAGATGGGGCTTTCTGCTTCCGGTTGTGGCTTTCCTGGCTACAGTGTCCTGCCTGGGCCAAACCTTTCAACAGTGATAATGAAAACCAGGAAAGGGGCTCTAGAGATGGAAGGAGGGGTGGGAAGGGGAATAAAAAAGAATCCAGGTATGTTCTGCACCTGTACCTGCTCCCAATGATGAATGCAAACTTCATTTACTGGAAACAGGTACCAGTAAAATAAAATTTTAAAAAACAATATTTGCATGTAAAAATAATGGTGTTAAAACTCTGGGATAGGTATTATGGGAAAATCACTGTAACCTTCTTATTCCAAGAAGGCACGGTTTGCAGAACCCCTCATTTTTTTTTTAAGACAGGGCTTTGCTATTTGGTCCAGGCTGGCTTTGAGCCCACCGTGCAGCCAGGCTGGCCAGAACACGGGCAGTGCCCAGCTCAGCCCCCGAGTGCTGGTTACAGGTGTGCCTCCACGCCCGGCCCCTCCCGTCTTTTGTCCTTATTTGCAGCACTCTGTCTTTGGCGGTGATGAATGCTGGGAATTAAAGGCTCAAAACGAACATGAAATGGTGCCAAGGAGTCTAGAGGCCAAAATATGCTGCTTTGCTTCCAGAATGTCTTCATTTTACAGATACTCTTCTCGATGAAGTCTGTCAATCAAGACTAGGCAGGTGCTGGACGTGGTGGTGCACACCTGTAATCCCAGCAGTTGGGAGGCGAGGCAGGGGGGAGTGATGCGAGTTCAAGGCCATCCTGGGCTACAAAGTGAGCTCAAGGCCAGCCTGAGCTGCATGGTGAAAGCTTGCCTCCAAAAACAAAAGCCTAGGTGGATGCTTGTGTAGAGGATTGGAAACGACCTGTTCTCAGTGGGGGCCCCTAGGAGTTGATGGCCACGTGCCACGGTGGGCTTTTTGTTTTTTAGTCATGGAAAGTTCTGAAAGGTTCGCTGTCACGGGAGGAGGAGGTGGGGTAATGTCACTGGGAGGATGCAATGTGGTAACCTGAACAGCGGCCTGGAGAGTAACAGCAGGCTCCCGGCTGTGAGAGATGGGAGCAGTGGGGCTCTACCCAGGAGCCGAGAGGGGCTGCTGATGGCAGGCCCAGAACTGGGCAGCCAGGGAAGTAATGCCTTAACTTCCTGCACTTACGGCGACTCTGGGGGCCGGAACGCTATGGATTGAGAGTATGAGTTTTGCTTTCTTACAAAGAATGAGTTCCAAACTGGAAGATTAATCATTGTATAAAAGTTTAAAATGAGAGCCAAGCATGGTGGTGCACTTCTATAATCCCAGCACTTGGAAAGCTGAGGCAGGAGGATCACTGCAAGTTTGAGGCCAGCCTGGGTTACATAATGAGTCCAAGGCCAGCCTGAACTTCATAGCAATTTCACAGCACAAAAAACCAAAGAAACAAAAAATTTAAAATGGAGGGAGGGCAGAGAGAGGAGAGAATTGAGAAGTATACATGTATGTAGCTGCTCCCCAGGATGGCTGTAATCATCATGTGGTGTAAGCATGTACTAATACAAATTAAAATTTTTAAAAATACAAATTACATTTCAGAGAAAGTTTAGTACATTCTAAATATGAAAAAAGGATACTTTACTAAGAGATACTCTATAGTATACTGTTACATATTCCCATTATCTCTAAAATTTTTTTCCCCACATAATAGAAAGCTCCATGCTAGGTGTGATGGGCCATGCCTGTAACCCCAGCAAACAAACAAACACCTCCAAAAAGCAAGGATTGTGTTTTTCATATTTGTGTCCCTAAACCTAAAACTAAGCAAGATACTTCTGCAGAGTACTTAAGTAGGATTATTTATTCAACCAATAAATGAATGTACCAACAAACAAATGAACTGCTGGAAGAGAATGAACTAGGAAATCCTGGCCAGACATGAAAATGCTTGTAATCTCAGCAAATTGGCATTAGAATTAGACTGACAGAATGAGGACCAAGCGGAGTAAGCAATGGTCAGAAAACACACTATGTCATTTGTGCTGTTTTGATGGCAGGAATAATTTAGTTGAAATCCTACAATTACATTTCTTTCCTTTGATATGATACACACAGAGAGAACAATTACACAAATGCACTTAAGTTCTTTATAAAATTCTGTTTTAATGTCAAATATTTGAATAAATTGTGTATTAAATAGTCAGAAGAATAAATTTCTAATTTGAAAAAAATAGCAAAACAGAGTAATGCAGTCAAGGAGCCAGAAATATCTAAGCACATTTAAGACAGAATCATATTTCAATTACTATACCTTTCTCTTTGGTGAAACAATTTATTAATTATGTCACGGCACACTTTGTATGATAGCAGCTAAACATAGGATGCCTTAGTTGTACAAAACCCTATTCCAGGTGCTGCTCATATCTTTACCCCTGACAAAGCTGCTATTCTTGTTCGCAGGTGAGCCCCAGTGAGATCACATAAATGGGGGTCACCCAGGGAGTAAGCGACAGATTGATAGGTCCGCCCAGCTATCCAGGGACCCAGCACACGTCCTACCCACTACACAAACTTCTAAATCTGATCTACATTTACTTACGGTCAGGTCTGTTTATTAGAAGGAAAATCTATAGAGAAAAACCTAAGTACATCTTTATAATTTCATTCCTGAGTTTCACAGAGACAAAGACACAATGTACATCTAAAAAAACCAGAGTCTCTTTTTGTGCAGTCTGTACCATCTGAGAGTCACAGTAGAGGCCTGACTATCTCCAGATTCTCTGGCAACTTTGTGTTGATTTTATATCCTGATTGGATTTCCTATTGTGGTTTTCAGATGTTTCCTTGGGTTTAAGAGTGAACAGTCTCTTCTTTCACATGCCAGCCCACACTGAGGAGTCCCTGCTGAGAACAGGAAATGTTTTTTAAGTTTTCTGTTTTATCATAAAAAAAAAATCATGCCAATGATTTTGCCCAGTTACCACTGGAATTCTGATCACAAGCAACAGATACTGATTTTATTACCTGAAGGAATTTATTGGATGGATAGCAAGCAGCTCACAGATCTTGCAGAAATCCTTTAAAAACAGATTTAGGAAATAAATAAAAATCTAGAATGATGGGCGATTGGAGCTATAGCCACAGTTATAACAGAAGGAGATGGTTAGGGCCCTGCTGACACCTGCTCTACACATTTGCATATAATATTCTCTCTTTGTTGATTGATTACACTATTACTAATAAGAAAAATCAAAATAACGAAATGTCCACCATGGGCTTCTGGTAAAATAAATTGTGTTTATATAATGGAATACTGTTATCATCACTAAAGACATTGTAGTAGACCTAAACATATACAAAGTGCAGAAAGTCATCAAATGTTATGATTAATGTTATTTTAGTTTTGTTTTAGAAATGTAGTTTTTATGTATAGAAAAAAATTTGAAAAAGGTATAAGCCAGACTGGTACCTATTATTGTCTCTAAGCACTTGAGTTACAGATTTTTTTATATCAGATTTCTGTAATATCTGAAGAATTCTTTGCTAATGCATGTAAGCTAGGGAACGTTCCACTTTCTAGCTGGAGGCTGTATCAGATCTTTTCCCTAATACTTACGTGAAGGCAGTGAAGCCTTATTGGTGTTCTGGCCTGTATATACTAGTGTCCTTATCAGTCAGAACTGATGCCTCTCTCCCCACTCTCCTCCAGCGGGTCCTCACCCTCCATTGTATCTTTTTTTATCCGTGAATATTTGAAGAGTAAATAATTAGTTCTACATTGTAATTTTGTGATTGCTATGGAGTAGTTGGTGGTAAGCTTTTGAATATTGCTTTATGACAGCATATGAATCCTAATCTCACTTACGTTTTACATGTTTTAGCATTTATTTTTATTATTACTACTACCACTTTCTTTGGTCAAAATATATCATTTTATATTCATTAAAAGTGCTTATATATCAACTTGCAAAATTCTTGTATCTCTAAAGCAAGAAAACGTTCAGACTTTGAATAAAAAATTTTAGGTAAAGCTTTTGAAATATCTTTCTTAAACTACTTTATATGTATTTAAATTTTGATATAAAACTTAAAACTCATTTTAGTTTGATCACTTTTAATATTTTAAAGTGTGGAACTGATGTCTAAAACTTGTAAGATATTTTGCTACAAGCACAGTAAGAATAAAAGTTACAGTTTTTGTTGCCTTGTTTGATTTTAGCATTCCATACTGAAAGAAGAGATTTTCATACACGAAAAAATGCCTTTGTTTAGTAAATCACATAAAAATCCAGCAGAAATTGTGAAAATTCTGAAGGACAACATGGCCATTTTGGAAAAACAAGACAAAAAGACAGATAAGGTATGAGCTCCAAAAATAACATTTCAGATCCAAACTATAGCAATTTTCATGAAAGTTATAAAAGTATTTACATCTAGACTGAAAATGAAGCATTCAAAGGTGATGAAAATGTTGTTTCTTGACTTGGTGATGATCACAAACATGTTTGCTTCATAATTATATTTAGCTTTCTTCATATGTTTAAAGTATTCATTTGTGGATTCATCTCAAAATTTAAGAATCTTAATCCCTTGATAAATTAAGATTGTTTCAGTTGGACATAAGTATATGTAAGATTCCTTTTTAAAACGCTGTATCCATCAAAAAAAGGTTGGGTTTTCATTGTTTGGCTTTTTGGTATTTTTTTTCATGCCTCTATATCTTGTAGTCTGAACAGCTACTTTGAAAATAACAATATACAATATATTAACCAGTGTTTATTACCTATTATTTTGTTTCAAAACTCTGTATCATTGTTTTTATTCTTTTTTCATTTTTAAAATAAATAAAATGTAGTATCAGGTCAGGGTTGTAGCTCAGCCGTGCAGCACCTGTTTGGCAACAAGAAGGCCCTGGGTTCAATTCCCAGCTTAAAAAAAAATAAGAAAGAAAGAAAAAGTAGTGTCTTTGGTCTGCTGAGCATGCCAGTGCATTCCTCTAATCCCAGGACTCAAGAGGTGGAGAGAAGAGAATCTTGAGTTTAAGACCAGCCTGAACTGTGTAGCAAGATTCTATCTCAGAAAATAGAAGCAAAAACAACAAAAAAAGTAGCATCTTGTTACTGTGATTTTTTAAATGTAATCTGTCCCATTCTACTCATTTCTTATTGTAATGGTTTGCATATTATGAAGTCATAAAACTATAGTTGCTCTAACATTGAGAAAATCAGACCATAATGTCAAGTGAAATAAGATACATAAATTTAAATATTGTTTAGTTTCTCTTATATGAGAATCCAAAGTATAAATAATTTAAAGAGAAAATAAAAGATGGATACTATGAAAGAGGGAAATAGATCTTTTGCAAGTGGAAATGGAGAAAGGGGAAAGGGAATAAATAGGATTCAGATGTCTCGTGTACATGTATCAATTTCCTGCATTAAATGTCATCATTCTATGCTGCAAACGTACTAATAAAAAATTTAAGACTATTGAGGAAGTGTAATTGTTAACTAAGTCAATTTGCTTTTTGCCACCTGTACGAGTTTATAGGTTTTTATTGAGATTTACTTCACATGCCATATAGTTCTCCACTTGCAGCATACAATTCAGTGACGTTTGGTGCATCCATAAGATGTGTCATGATCACGGCTGCCTAGTTCTAGATCATTTTCATCATCCCAGATAGAAGCCTGCACCCACCTCAGTCACTTTTCATTGCCCCCTCTCGGGCCCCAGCACCTGCCGTCCTGGTTTCTGTCTCTGTAGATTTGCCTGTCCCTCCTTAAATGCAATGACTTGTTTATTTTTACGTGTCACATTTAGAAAAAGATAGTGATAATGTATGAGGAATAAGTGGGTTGGCAAAGTTTATGATTTCGTATTTGGCACATTAAAAAATCAGGAAAATAGGGACTTCCCAAAAAACCTTAACATAATGCTTTTAGTAAAGACCAATAGTTGCAGATAAGTCTTCAAAACAGATTCAATCTAATTTTCAAGAGTGACATTTCTGTTTGGTTACTAGCAAATTTAGAATATGAGTATTATTTAAAGAATTATTTTCATTATGTCTACTAAATAGAAATTAAAGATCTTTTTCATATAAATTTTAGTAGCATTTTCCAAAATAAAAAGCTGTGTTTTCTAATGGTTTCATGCTCATTTATAACTGCACAGTGCTCTTAATTCTAAACAAACGGGGCTTAAGAAGTAGTTTTCTAGTTTAATGCCCTGAATATTTTTATTCTTTTAAACGGTTAGTGGGGCTGGGGTTGTAGCTCAGTGGTATAGTACTTGCCACTGAGGTCCCCAGTACCACAAAAACAAATGACAAAAACAAAAAATTGTTAGTATGCTTTCTGGTCACCAGGCTTCAGAAGAAGTGTCAAAATCTCTGCAAGCAATGAAAGAAATTCTGTGCGGTACAAATGACAAGGAACCCCCAACGGAAGCAGTGGCTCAGCTGGCACAAGAACTCTACAAGAGCGGGTTGCTAGTGACCCTGATCGCCGACCTGCAGCTCATAGACTTTGAGGTGAGCAATGTGTGAGAAGGTACTTTGCTTTTCAGTATTAGTGTATATGGTTATCAGTATTTTAAATTGTCTGTATATTTTTTACATTTTTCTAAAACTTTTGCATTTGCCTTCATTTTTTAAAAAATGAAAAAAGATTTATACGTCACTAAATTTTGTGTACCTACGTAGCACAGTTAATGACTAAGAAGAAAAATAGATAACATTTGTTGAGTGCTTACTATATTTCAGCACAGTTTCAAACCTTCTATCTCCCATCTTAATACTGTGATTGAGCCAGAATGTTCACACTGAGCAATGTCCTTAACTCTTTTTATTTTTTAGTTTAGACTTCAGTAAGACATTAAATTGGTAGAACTTGAAATCTTCCTGCCTCAGCCTCCTAGAGCACTGGGACTATAGCCATGTGCCACCACGCCAGGCCTTAATTCCTAAAACTATCTTTGTGGCTAAGCCTGTCTTATTAATCCTAGGTTCAAACTTAGTAAGTAATCTGCCCAGAATCACTTAGTTACTAAGAGCTTCAACTGGGATTCAAACGCAGACAGTATATACCAAGCCAGTGCATTCCATTAAAATATTGTCTCAATGATTTGTTAGATGCTAGTAATGTAAAATATGCATCTCTTTTTTATAATTTTATTAGTATATATTTCCAATGCATAGTAATTATATTCATCCCGGGGAACTGGTACATACCCACATCACATCTTACTCAGTTTTGTTTCTCCTCCCTGCCCTGTCCTCCCGTCTCCTGTTGTATGTCTAATTTAGAATAGTTGTTTTCAGTGAAAATCGCATGCACAGGCAAGTTTGGACATTTATTGTTTTAGGTGACAGACATCCTGGTTTTATTTTGTTTCTAACGGAGTACTTTTGATGGTATTAGATAAGTGCTTTGTGTCCTTGGGTTCTGAGACAGAAGAGATAGGCAGGTTTCTCAAGTGAACTGCTTTTAGTTTGTTCCTGAGCAGTGGAAGGAAACCTAATTACAGTGATGATGGCGGTTCAGCATGGTAGGGTCAGGGCTCTGGGGAACCCGAGGAGACAGTGGCTACTGCTTTCCAGACAGACTGGATGGGGAAGAGGAAGAGTCCAGGTGAGCAGATCCAGCTAGAGGAACGCGGAGCAGGACTGCTGGGCGCGGGCGCGGGCCTCCCTCACCCTCCTGCAGATGCTCCTGCGGTCTGTCTCTGGTCTCTGGCCTGCTGCTCCACCTTTGACACGTTTCGCCCGTAGCCCTTGGCTCATTCTGTGTCCCAATCTATGTCGCATCTTTTTCAACCTTGCTATATGTGGAATTGAAGTATATTTTTGCTGTATTTATAGACTTTTGTATTTATTTAGTTTAAATTTACATATTATGCACATTGGTAGAAGCTGTGGCATAATGGAAACACCTGATTCGGAGTTAGACTGGTGTAGACTGTGCTCTGCCACTTAGTGCTTAGGGACTTGCCCTCTTTGAGCCTGTTGAGTAATAATATAAACTTGAGTTGCATTAAATATATGTGTTATGTCGTGAGAAGACTAAATACAAATGTAAACTATATGCAAATATCAGATAGGGTATTTTCATTTCCTCTCTCCATCTAAAGTGAAATCTAAGCTAGGTGGTTTTTGTTGCTGTTATAACCCTTGATTTTTTGTTTGTTTTGTTTTAGATTTGGCTGTCAGTAATCATAAATAAGAAAGAGTTTATACTCTCAGGTTATAATTATGGTTCTATAAATTTCTCTTGTGTTGCATGTTGTCTGAGAATAGCTATGTGTTAAGCTGTGGCCATTGTGCTGCGTGTTCAAGTCCAGTGGATGTTAGAAGGAATATAAGCGAGGATTTCTATGGTTTGAAGAATGACTTAGAGATGAGATGTCATCAAGTTCAGTCTTGGAGAAGCACTGAGTAGTCACAGAGCATCAGGCTCCTCCAAGGGCTGGGAAAATAGGAGGAGGAAACTTTAGGTACGTCACAGCTTTGTTTAGCTGGCTCAGAGTAACAAAAGTGGAACAGTAAGAAACCATTACACATTTCCCTTCTTTTATGTGATATTCCAGAAATAAATGTAAAATCTAGAGAGGAAGTTCACTTGAAAACTGTTTGGATATTGAGACATTCATTTGCCTAAAACTGATGTACATTGTCTGGTAAACTTTCTCTCTGAAATCCTTGGAGAAAAGAGGTATCTTTTTAAATATTTGAGTTTTCTATAAAGCATTCGAATGCAGAGAGTTAATTACTTTTTAACTTTATAGAAAGAAGTACTTGGTTCCCTCCAGAATAATGTACTATATATAGTAACGTTTCCCTGGTGACACAGAACAATAATTATGAAGATCTGTTATTTCAACAAAACAGTAGACAAGTCTTAATTTTGTTTATTCAACCGATATAATAACAGTACCTGGAATTTCAGTAGCTGCAGCTGCCTCCTCCTCTGGCCCAAAACATATAAATATTTCTTGTTTGAATGAATGAATGAGAAGCAGTTAAAATTTTAACAATTCCATTTTAAACATTTTACCACTACATATTTCCAAGAAAAAGGCACAATACTACTATTATTAACTCACTTGCTAAAGTGTGCGGTGTGTCTTTTTGAACTGGAGGAAGGTGGTCGGCCTGCCTGAAACAACTTTCTTTCGTCAGCCCCAAGTGTTCTGATAAGCTAATGAAAGCTTAATACAATTCTTCCTGTGTTCAAAATATGTTCTAGCCATACCAGACTCCAGCCCTCCTCTCTTGGTCCATCGGCAGCTCTGGGAACCCCTTTTGTACCGAGAGTACCCTGAAGACTAAGACTGGTTCCCACATTCAGGTTGGCTGGTTGTTAGAATGTATTTAGGAATGAGAATGCCAGATCAAAGCAGAGGTAGAGGGACGGAATCAAAAGAAGCTAAGACATAATACTGAGCTGCTCCTGAGGAATTAGTACATTGTTCAGAATGTAATTCACCTTTCTTAACTGATAATTGTATCATTTCAATAAGGAAATATTTTCTCACTGTGCTTCAAAAACAGTTACTTGATTCTAAAATTGTGATATGTTTTTATAACAGGGAGGGAGAATTATTTTATGAATAGGCTACAGTTCTTGCTGGATAATTTAGGAGGGTGGAACATCCCTTACGGAGAAAAAAATGTAACTTCTGCTTGGGCTTTTTTATTAGTTACAAGGTTGTTAGACAGTGTCTGGAAAGATAAGACTGAGAGAAAAGGGCTTAGATTCTTTTTGTAGAGTGAAGTAACAAAAATTTGAGAAAATCCCTCTTTGACTAAGGCTAATAAAGAGAGAAAATAGAAGAGAGACAGAGGGCCAGCGATTTAGCTCAGCAGTATAAGCACCTGCCTGGCAAGCACAAGGTCCTGGGTTCAATCTCTGGTACCAAAAAGGAAAAAAAAAAAAAAAAAAAAATAGAAGAGGGACAGAAGAGTTTGGAGTAAGGAAAAGTTTGCAGAACAATGACAAACAGAAGGAGCTTCAGGAAAAAGATAATAGGGTAGACTAAAGAACCCTAGTGATGGGGGCTGGGGGTTTAGCTCAGTGGCATGAGGGCCTGCCTTGCAAGCAGGCAGTCGTGAGTTCGATCCCTGGTACCGATAAAAAGGAAAAAGGAAAAAACAAAAAAGAACCCTAGTGATGGCTAGAATTCAGTTTGGAGTTAGTGCTGCATGCTCCGCTTCCTTGTTATCCTTACACTGTTGGTAAAAGAACAATGTATTAATAGCGATGTTGAGTGACGGAGGAGGGCTGTCTTCTGCACCTGGAAGGCACAGTGGTGTTAGAGCATAACCAGCTGTAAGAACCAGACAGCGATTAGAGTCTGAAAGAGCTGGGCCTGGGTTTGGACCTCACTCTGACAGTAGCTGTGGTCACTCAGTGATTTTGGATCAGGTAGCAGGGACTAATTCTGTGCAAACTCATTTCTTCAAGAATCCAGAGGAAAGTGGCCTTTGGGGTTGAGAGACAGTATTAGAGAATCCTTCAGACCCCTGGTTAAAAAATTATTTAGCCATGGTAATCGTTGTTGATCACCTAGTAACCCTTTTTTTTTTTTCATTATGTACCATGTCCATCCTCCTGATCTAACTGACTCTGTTTTGCTTTGTCACATTGGGTTTTTCTTTGGTCCGTCTTGTTTTGTTTTGTTTTGTTTTTTGGCTTTTTTGTTTTTTTAATCTTTTTTCTTTTCCTCTTCAAAGAAAAAGTTATAAAAACTGTGGAAGTAATGGAAACTAAAATGTGTGATTGTTAGTGTAAAAAAGAGAGGAAGGAAAGTGATCTAAAGGATATAACTGCAAGTATATTTAAATGTGTAGGATAGAGAACCATATTGCTGAGTTTTTCTTGGATCACTGAACAGAACTGACTGCAATCTCACTGTATTAATCTCCACTTTGTATGCTTTAATTTTGTAATCTGTTTGTAAGATGACAAAGTGTGATCTATTAACTGGTAAACTCTTACTGTATATTTTTTCTCTTGAAATTCTGTATTACTTCTAGCCTTTTATTGTTTTTGCTTCGTTTAGTTTTGCTTTTCTCTCTAAATAAAAAAAATTTATTTAGCCATCAAGTCTTAACATTACTAAAAGAAAAAAACCCTGCCAGCATCTTACGTATATCATTAAAAAATGATTTATGACTCATACTGGAAGGCTTATGATTTTGTGAACTCGAGGTTAAGTTCAGAGCTGTATCTTTTGAGGTTTGACTACTCTTCAAGACAGCTTTAGACTCTATTTAAAAAAAACACAATGTGATAAGAGATTAAGGAATAAAGAATTTATTGCAGATAAAATTTGATGCACTCATTTTAAAAGCAAATGTAGCTTGTAAAACTAGAGTGGATACAAAGTCAGTGTTGGGGCTCAGTAGAAAGAAGCTCCAAAAATCAGAAAACTCTACTGTTACTTAATTTCTAAAGATTATTTCTTGCCACTATCAACCTAAAACACAGAATGTCACACAAGACTGAGTAAGAAAAGGCTTTTATTTGAGGT